TATCAGAATGGTTTTCTATTACGCCCCATATTATAGGAGACCGAATGAGGTGGGTGCGTATGATGAGGTGCACGGCCATGCCATCCTCAGGCGAACGCAGAAGGAGTTCACCAATCCGGGCGTTCACCCAGACCGATGGTTCAAAACGGGCGGCCCGGAACACCAAATACTCATTAGATAATATAAAACAAAGAGTATGGGCCTCTATGGCTTGGAGGATCTTGGGCCCAACGCAGACCTGCTAGAAGCCATTGGAATTAAAATGCCCCGGCCAGCGCCCACTCACATCATGGCTGCGCCAGTCTTGCCGAGGACAGTGGACCTAGACGAAGATGCGTTAGAATACTTCCAGACGTGGTGCGTGGAAGCGTGCGCGGCAGAGGAAGAAACGGGGTCGTCCCATGGGCGCCCGTCCAGTACCGAAGATGATAGTGACTGGGGCCGCGCAGCATTAGACTGCGCGGCCGCGACCAGGCGTCGCGGCGCCCCTCGCATGCCCCTCCGGGGAAGAATTGCGGGTCGCGACAATCATCAAGAAAAAGAGCCGGATAGCCGGCCCTGCTACAATCCGTTCACGAACTCTATGCAGACCGGGGAACGGGAGGCGGCCTTCGCCCTTCCAACCGAACAGAGTGCCAAAGGGAGAGGCCATTACGCATGCGTCGCCCTCCCGGTCACTAAGGCAGAGGCGGCCCGCAACGAAAAGCCGCAGAAGGCGCTGGATGAGCGGGGGCGCCTGAGAAAGATCAAGACGTGGGACGAAGCAAAAGTCAAAGAGCTCCGCGACGCTTTTAAGGCTATGATGTAAGGAAAAACGTTCCACATCGGCCGACTATTTGCGATCCTGGTCGAGAAAATGCCGAACTTCCCAAGGGTCACAAATGTCGCAAGGTCAACGGAAAGGGTCGTATTTGACGGATCAGATGTGGTCGACCAAGACAAGAATGCCGCATTATTCCAGGGGCCATCCATCTGCCCTGCCACGATGCAGGCCAGCAGAGCTGCCGACGCGTACGGACTGTTTGAGAACCATGACATACAACAGGCCGATGCTCGGCAGGCGCGTGCGTAGTCGAAGCTGGGGGGGCGCCCCGACTTGGGTGCGGTTGCCAAAGGAGGCTTGGCCAGAGAGCTGGGCAGGTATGATATACCCTGTCTGCCCGCTACTGTAAGCACCATGCGGGCACCCCGATGCGGAGGGTTTTGGGAACAACACTGCAAAGCTCATGTCCCGATTCCCTGCTAGCGAAGCTGCTATTGCCATCCGGAGCTTGAATTATTCCTGATCGTATGCGTAGATGACTTCGAGCTCGCTGGTCCCGCCCAACACCTGTAGACAGGGTGGGATCTGATCCTGGGCCCGTGAGAGACGGCTCCAGAGGGGGCTGACATGGATCCACCGACTGCGGTAGGGCGGTATCTTGGATGCGAACGCAGAGTCTTTGAGAAATGGGTTGACTGGCAGGGCGTAGTTCCGACAATGTTGGGCCCTCCGCCACCGAAGGAGAAGAAAGCCAACTACCCGGTCGACTTAGGCAAACGGCCTGCTGCGGCCGCCCATGGCGGTGCGCGGGCGGCCCATGACGCCCCAATCTATTGCGAAAGATCGTTCCACGTCCCAAAGGGACAAAGTGTGTGGATAAGATATGATGCCAACGCTACGAGGTACCACGCATCCCTGCTGGGCGGCCCTGAAGGGCACAAGGTCTCCCGAAGGATAACGTTTGACTACGACACATGGGAGGGGCTTGACAACGCGGCACATGAAGATGGCATGGTGGCCAGCGCGGCTGCTGCCGCCGAAAAATATGTTCGAGTTCCGCTGCCTGGTGGCGCGCGCAACGCGATCACAATCCTTATGTTTGCTGACCGCGACACTGAAACCACCATATTTACGCCCCAGAGCCCCGCAGACCAGGACTGGACATGGTTAGGGCGATGTGCGGCCCCGGCGCCGCCGCCGCCTGTCCTGACGCCTGAGTATAAACCAGGGCCCAAGAAGGAAGTGCGCCTCATGGAATACGATATGGCGGAATTCTTCAAGTCCTGCGTTTCCCCATGCGCAGAACTCGCAGACACCGACCAGGGCGCCTACCCTCTTTCGGGCGCGCCCTTTGGCCCTGAATTGACTTCTTTCGAGGGCGGCCAGGGTGGCCCGCGGGGTCAGGTTCTAGCCCCTGCCGAAGAGGCCCTGGCCGAACGCCTGCGCTTCGACGCCGTGGTTGGGCCTCCGGGCGCCGAGGTCCAGGTTGGTGGTCCTCCCATGGAGGGGCCATCTGCCCCAGATCCGAAGCCTCCTGCGCCGTATGGAATCCTGCAGCCAATTGCAGCGAAGGTCCAGATGAAAATCCTGCACGGTGCACGGATGACGCGCCCTGATCTGCTCAGCGCTGTCTGCAAGACAGCCGCGTGTGCAACCAGATGGACGGAGGAAGAAGACATCGATCTCTTCCGAATCATATGCTATCTGAAGGCCACGACTCACTACCGCCTAGTGTCTTGGGTGGGAGATCGCCGAGAAGATGTTTGGCTTCGTCAATTCGCAGACGCCGATTTGGCGAGTGACATCCGCACGTGCCGCAGCACCAGTGCGAACGCATATCCTGCGGGGAGAAAACACGAGCGTTGCAGAGCTGCAATTCCCGAAGACAAACGTCTCATTGCACGTTGGAGGCGGAATTCGTATCCGCAGACGAAGCGCTCCGAAGAGAGCTCCAGCTGGCGCTTCTCTTGTGGGGGATGCTACTCGGCCGCGCGCTGAGGGCGGAGTTCATGGAAGACAACCAGGCCGTTGTGGAGGTTTGCAAGGCGGGCGGGTCTCAAAAGTTACTGCACCTGCCGCGTGCCCACCGAATCAACGCTTCAGCTGTGGCGGAGCAGTTTGCCAGAGGCACGTCTGACCTGGTCTACTGCCCGACGCGCGACCAGGCCGCCGACGTCGGCGCGAAACGTTTCGAGCAACCCTCGTCATGGACAAGGTACTCTATCTCGTGCAGGTGGTGGCCCCGACTTTCTGGGCGGCCCCGACGCACCATAATATTTAGACTCACTGTTCGCAGGAGACTCGGGGCGCCCCCTGAAACCCTGGGGGATTCTCAAGCCGAAGGTCGGCGGCGAGATTCCCAGTAAGAAAGCCAAGAAAAAACAACCCAAACGACAAAATAAGGGCAAACCCACTGTCGAAGCACCCGCTAACCCCAGGGTTCATAACCGAGCGGGAACGCCAGCAGAGGTGACTGAGGAACACGAAAGTGCACGCGGAAGCCATGCTGCCGATGCAGATCCTGATGCCGCAGTAGGTTCCAGCGAAAGATCTCGGCAACGCCTTTTTATTGAATTCTGCTGTGGGCCGAACAGCCGGCTAGGGAATCAAAGTAACATTCCCGACAGACACTGTGCGGTGGCGAGATTCACAGAAGCAGAAGACATGGCCACCAAAGAAGGCAAAACGTTTACCGTGGCCAGAGTGGAAGAACTCGAGCAATAAATGAGGGAACAAGGTGCTGCCACGGACAGACGAATAACACTGTGGATCTCAATGCCATGTACGGGCGGATCGCCATGGCAGCATGTAAACGAGGCTATGTACTACCTCTCCGGCAATGAGAAGGCACAAAAGAAGTTGATGGGGTCACATTACACTTTTTCGGAAGTTGTTTTGGGCGGTTCGTAAATTGGCTTAAGAAGTAAGTGAGAGAAAGGGCCAACAATGTCTCGAGTGGAGTGGCCGACCCCATGTCGATATTGGCATGATCCATAGGTCAAAGAGTTTTTGAATAAACACAACATGACGAATATTCAGCTCCATGGCTGGCTTATGGATTACAGAATAGAAAGGGGCAACATGAAACAGCCATAGAGTTGCCTCGTCGTTGAGTTATATCGCCGGGGGTCTTGAGCGCAGGTGCGACGGCAATCAGAAGCATCTTGAGGCGAGGGGAAAGGACTGCAAGCAGGCTGAGGAGCATACGGGCGAACTTGCGAGGAGGGCCCACCCCTTGGCTTTGAAGGCGCTCATGGGTAGAGCATCTGAGCATGTTGCATCTAGTGTTCATACGCATGCTGCCCCTGCTGTTTTGCATGCGCACATGTGCGCTACCGCCGCCGTGATGGCTCAAATCGATGCCCCCGCGCAGCAAACCCGCGCGACTGGATTGGCAGCCTTCCCGCCTTGCGCGCGCCGCGCAGCTCGCCGGCGCCTCGCAGCTTTCGCGCCGGCGCCTCAGCGGCGCCAACGCCCGTCGGCGGCGGACCCCACAGGTCCGCAAGTCAGAGAAGGAGGGGCATCGGACGCCCCCGAAGCAAACAGGGTCTCTTTATAAGAGGCGCTGTTAGGACCATGTCCTGCATCACCCATGGTGGTCTGCGCGGCTTCTGGGGCAAGATGTTCCAAAACGGGCAAGACTGTCCCAATGCGTTCGGGCGTGGGCCAGTGATCAAGATCCTGCGTTCGCGGGGCATTGGATGAGGACAAGTTCAAGAACCTCGCGAAGGAGGCGGCGGCCCTCGCGGCCCTCGCCAAGGGCGTCTTGGGCGATGAGCGCCTTGAGCGTTGCTATCGCTCGGGGTGTTCGACCTCGGTCAACACTTACCGCCCGGATGGAGGTGCAGTGACACCTACGCCGCACCTTGGCGAAGGTTCGTTCGACCCACACTTGTGCCCATGGAGCAAGACCCCGAACTTGTACATGGTGCTCGGGGTCGAGCCAGTGGGGCAAGTCAATCCTACAAAGGGATTCCGTGAAGTATTCGCGGCTTGCCACACGGACAGATTGAACAGTATGTTGGGGGGCGGGCTCGATCAGGTCGGGCTATTCGCCAAGATGTTCAAGAAACCGACCTATCGACCCATGGTCCGATTGCCGCCAGACATGAACAACGCTATCTGGAACTCTGCCAGCTCGGGGAAAGTGCCTTGGGTTGGGGGCCTGGGGCCTTTTGTCCAGGGCGTGCATCTCCCAGTCCTTCGGGGGGCTGTATTTGTTTGGCGAGTCCCCGAGGACCTGGGCGGGCCACGGCGGGTCAACAACTTGAGTGCAGTCGTCATTGCACCGTGGCTGGATGCGAAAGCTTACGCGGACTATCGCATGCCTCGGCCGTTCCTTACCCAGCAGCAGAGCGAGGAGCTGCTGCAGGCGTGGTTCCAGGATCCGACCGATCGGCTGTACAACGTGCTGGAGAACAAGGCCGCTCGCCAGCTCTTCCAGTGGTTCCTGGATCCGGCTTGGGACCGCGTTGGCCAGTACCGGCCAGGGGGAGCTCGCAGGCACGCCACGGACAGGTACTGTTCGCTTCATGCCACGCTCCCCGACCACGTCGAGTGGACTGGCGCAACGGCGGGCCCCGATCAGGCTCCGCTGGGGCCCGCGAAGGAGAATCTGGGTCTCGACGAGGGCGTTCTTGGAAAAAGAATGCTCGTGAAAAGTGTCGACCGCATGACAACTTATGGGGGCGTCAGCTACGACGACCTGGAGAAGCATGTGAAAGACAACCCGAGTTTCGACTATGTCCAGCACCGCGCGCACCGCCTAGCCTGGAGTGGTGGCTCCCGGCCCTATGTCACCATTCAGGGTCGTAGGGCGTCACTGAGGCTGCACTATGAAGTTGAATTTGCTGACAGCCTCGTGCATTACGAATGGTTACAGCGTTCAGACTACGTGTCCCCAGATCGGGGACAGCGTGCCCTGGAAGGATTCCCCGAGTTCGATCTCGACCCTACTCCGCTCTACAAGGTGCCGATGGCGAACTTCAACCTCCGGGGGCAGGTGAGGAAGGATGTCCAAGCAGCTCGCGCGGGCCCGGGGATAGGCCAAAAAGCATCCCCGCGGCGGGGTGCCATGTACAGCCCGGGGAAGGGAATGCCCAGAATCGCTGGGGTCGCGCGAGAGCGGAAAGCCAGGGGCAGTCTTCAACGGGGGCGACGGCGCGCGGGCCGCCGGCGCCGCCGCCCAAGCCTCCGAATCAGCACTTGCGGTCGCAAGGTGCAACTCGGCAGGCGCAGGCGCAGACGCCTCGCGGCTCGCCTCCGCGACAGGCACCGCCGCCGCGCACTCCGCCGCCAGCTGCCGCTGGCGAGGCCCGGGCACCAAAGCCGCCGCCTCGGAGAGCTCTCCCCCAGAGCTCTCCCCCAGAGCTCTCCCCCAGAGCTCTCCCCCAGAGCTCTCCCCCAGAGCTCTCCCCCAGAGCTCTCCCCCAGAGCTCTCCCCCAGAGCGCCGATGCTCCCTGTCATTCCTGGCATGCACATCCCGCAGCGCTCACGCGCGTCGCAGAGCCGACGTCCGCCAACCCCGCGAACAACGGCGCCCCCGCGAACTCTCGGCAAGGCGCAGTTGTGCCCTCTTCCGCGGGCTTGCACCAGGAACGCGGAAGCTCGCGGTCGAGGGGTGCTTCCGCGCGGGAGTGGCCGCCGCGCCGCGCCGAGTCCGCGAGCGAGAAATGCCGTCGGACTCCACGCGCGGCGCGGCGCCCACTGCCGCGCGGAAACCCAGGGGGCCACGTCCAGCCTCCACGCGGCGGCCCCTGGGGAAGGCTACGCGGGCGACTCTGCACCCGCAAGGGTCGGGGTCGCGCGCGTAACTTTCGCGAAGGACGACTCTCGAATCGCGCTAATGCTGACATATCTGTTTCTGGGACGCACATCACTCACTCAGGCTGACGCCAGCACTCCTTCCCCCCTTGAAAGGGGGGAGCGTGGGGGGTAGATCCCTAAACCCTAAAAGCAATGACTCTGGGTGGATGGGGTGGGACAGAACGCATCCATCCATCCCCCCTACCTCCTGAGGAGGGGGGGATATGATGGTTCTGCGCAGAAGCCCTAAACCCTAAACCCTAAACCCTAAACCCTAGCCCCAAACAACAAACCCCAAACCCTAAACCCTAAACCCTAAACCCTAAACTGCAGGCGCGGACCTGGGGGCGCGCACCGCCACGCCTGCGCCGCAGGCATCTGGCGGAGCCCGGCCGTCTAAGCCGCCGCCTCAGACGGCGCCCCAGCCGAAGGCGCCGCCTCAGCAGGCCTCGCCGCCGAAGGCGCCCCCGCAGCAGGCGCCGGCGTCAAAGGCGCCGCCTCCGCACTTGCCGCCGCAGAAGCCGCCGCCACCGCAGGTGTCGTCGCAGAAGCCTCCGCCCCCGCATGCGCCGCCGCCGACGGTTAACCGTGGGCCGCCGCCGCCGCCGGGCCCGCCGCCATCGGCTGGGGGGACGGGCAAACCGCCGCCCTCGCAGTTGCCGAGGCCGAAGGCGGCGCCGAGGGTGCATCGCCCAGCTCGTGCCTCCACCCATGTGTCGGATAGCATGGAGCAGCAAGCACCTGGAGGCTATGCGAGTGCGCAAGCGCCAGGCTTGGCGGAACGCCTCCGCAGAGTGCAAAAACAGCTGGGGGCGGCCAAGGCACCCCCGCAGGCGGACCACCCATTCCATGCCAGCACCCATGTGTCGGAGGGCATGGAGCAACAGAAGACGGGTGGCTACGAAGCCGAGCAGACGCCAGGGTTGGCGGATCGCCTCCGCAGGAAGAAGGAACAGGAGGGGGCGGAGAAGGCAGCTGCTGAGGAACAGCAGCGGCCAGCCCCTGGCACGCCGCGCTCGGGCTGCTCAGTGCCACCTAGTCTTGAGGTGACATCGCCCGAGGGCGCCAATGGCGGCCCGGAGCAAAACGTTGAGCAGGCACCAGACCTGCCCGAAATGGAGACGGAGCCCCGCCCACCCCAGGATGACAAGGGGGAGTTGGCAGACTCAGGAGGACGACTCGAGGGCCGAAGCTGACCGCGTCGCTTAGGACGGCCTTCCTTCGGAGAAGATGAATGCCGACCAGACCGTGCCCAGTGCCCCTGCCGCTGTGAAAGAGGAGCCGACGGGGGCAGGGAAAGGGGGTGCCAGAGGCCATGCTCGCGGTGCTGGGCCCACCGGACACGCGCGACAGCCCATGGCTGATCGCCCTCGCGCGGGTGAGAGGCCCCTGCCGAGGGATCGCAGCAGGCCAAGGGCAGCTGCGAAGGCCGAAGAATCCGCGACGGCGAAGAAAGAGAACAAATGCGCCCTCGCGGACAAGGTGGGCGCACATGGGTATTGGCATGCTCTGGAATATTGCCGAGAACATTTCAAGAAAGACGGCGTGCTGGACCCACGTCTCGACTTGGGAATCATGCCGAAAGATGGGCCGAAGCCTGAGTACGCCGCTGCGCTGAAATCGCAGGGGGAAGCCCCGGCGAACATCATCAAGACGGAAGCGGCCCCTGCATTCGCCAGGCTCGATTTCCCACAAGCCTGCGCGGCGTTCAGTAGCATCATAAGAGCTGCGGGCATCCCATCCCGCATCTCAGGAGAAGCGATCTATTTATACGGCGTATAAATACGCGGCCTACGCTATGCCATGTACAACGCGGTTCTGGCCAGTGCCGACACAGACGTGGGCCGGCAAGCTTGCGGCAACCATGAACGAGGGTGAGAGAACATCCAACGACGTCGAGTATCTCATTTCCTCTGACTCCACCATGGCATACGCCAGCGCCAGGGGAAAACCCGCATTGGCAAACGCCCTTAAACAGCATATCGATGCGCGTTCGACAGGGCCCCTCACCACAATTCGAAATGATGCAAACCTGGGCGGCATTGGAGCATCCCCACGTTCCATGAATTGGGAGCAAAATTGCTCAACCCGCTGCAGGGTCATCGCGTGGAGCGGCAACGAGCTATGTGAACGCGAAGATGACCATCGGCGGGTCAAGGGTGCACGACGAGAAGACAACCCTACCGACTACGACGAATTGGAAAGCAGCGCTCTCTCCATGATACATGACGTCGTAGACGAGCAGGCCTACATTGCCCAGGCAACAGGAGCCATGCTCGTCATGTTGGTTCTGGGCGATGGCCAGAATTGGAGGCGAGCTACAGGAAATTCCGACCGACGCATCTGGGATGCCCTTGCCTCCCGCGTCTTCCCGCGGGGGCAGAACAGGATCAACCTCTGCCAGGAGGCGGGTCAGACTCCCAGGATGTTGCTGTTACGCGGAGCCGAACTATCTCATCGAGGACAGCGCCCCGAGAGCGACGTGTCCGAGTTGAGCGAAATAAGGAAGACGCACATAGAGCTCCATCAGATAAGGGATTGGCAGTGTCGCGGATTGTGTGCCGATTCCTTGATTACAGAACATGTCGAGGAGCCAATCTTTGTGGCCAATGGCCATCGTGATATAAACTCCCCTCATACAGGCTGGGCTACCGCGTGATCACCCAGCGCTGCGAACCATGCAGATGGACATGTCTATGCCCAGGATCTCGGACCACGATTGGAAGCTCTTCCGGGAACAGAAGAAATAATATGCAAACGCAAAAATACTTGAAGAACCTGCTGCGGACCATGTCCCAGGCAGCGTCGAACCCGAAGCGCCGACAAGGTCCACGAGCGTCGTCCGCAGCGGGGGCCATGAGATCAGGCTCGCGGATGCGGCGAAGAGATGGCGTGGAAGTCCTTCGGGTGGACGACGCTCAGGCTGGGGCGACATTGGGCGCGCTGGCTTTGATCGCTCATTCGCCGCGGACAGCTGGCAGCGCTTTGAGTTCCCCCACCGAATGCCCGATGGTCAACGGCCTGACCCCAGAGACGGGGCTCCAGAATGCCAGCCTCCGCCTCTGCCGGGGGGCGCCTTCCAGTTCATGCGCCGCGAGAGTGAGTGCGAAGGCCTTGCCCGCTGCGGCTTTGACACAGCAAACCTGGATATGTCCGACGCAAGGTTGCTTCAGAACTACCCAGGCGGCCGTCCGTCAAGATGGCAAAATTCCACTGGTGCGCAAACGTTGCGTTTGCAAGGGGAAGACAGCCGTTCATCTGGGCCGATGCCCCCCGAGGCATCGGAATTACAGTCGATGGGCCGAAGCCCATGGCGGAGGCGCACAAGTCAACATGTACGAACAGAAGCAATACGAGAAGTGGTACAAGGATGAGATCACCAGGGTCGACCTTGACACCTCGTCCGACCTCGAGTCCGACGGGCAACATGAGTCAAGGGAGTCAGCGGGATCATATGAGGACAGCCATGCTGATGACTCACCAGGAGGAAGAAGAGCCGTCGGATGGGGTTGGCCATGCTGACATCCCACTGATCCAGATTGACCCTGGGACGAGGCCATGTCAGGCAGGGATCCCCGTTTGGCTTGGACTATTTCTTGTGCGAGGGAACGATGTCACTTCGCAGAAATTACGCTACCCAGGAACCCCGCACACTTAATCTAAATCTTATGTGTGTTTATATATGTATATCTATAAAATGTATGCGCAATTCTGCGTTCTGAGCCCTCGTCGCGAATGTTCCCCTATGTGTCATCCGACGCCATATTGCTTAAACCTCCTCCCTCTTCCTGGCCTTTTATCCTCCATCGAGGACAGATTCGAAGTGGCCACCGAGGGCCGTTTCCTGGGGCGGCAAAAAGCAATGAGGTATTGCACGACGATTTGCCACATCGCGCCTAGTCAGGGGGCCCACTGTTGAAGCTAATGCCAGTCAAACCCCTTGCGCAATCGCTCTAGGGAGCCTCTAGAGCGATCCTGTCTCCCTCCCTTTATGCTGCATTATCCCGCGCCCCTGCCTCTCTTTCTCACCTAGGCAGGCGTACTTTTTTTCTTAGCTTTGTCTCATGCGGTCTCCACGTCTGTCCCCGCGTCTCTTCGACGGAGAGTCTCTGAGTCGTGCCGCGCTTTGCGAGCGTGCGACGGATAGAGACCGCGCCCTTTGCGCGCCCCCCCTGGTGTCGAGGTGCCTTGCTTTG